CGGGCGGGTCCCGAGCCGACACCGAGTCCTCCGGGAGCTGCGTGATGTCGCACATGGGGCAGGGGTCGGCGGGCTCCGTGGGCTCAGCCTCCTCGGTCCAGTCCTCGCTCCGCCCGTGCGTGGCGGCGTTGTCCGCCCACGCGCCCACCGCCAGCGCAGCGCACAGCAGCCATATCCAGAGGGCGGTGGCGGTGGCAGTGGGCGGGGAGGACCGTGGCGTGGGCGGCCGGGCGCGGCGCACACACGTCTTCATGGCCAAGGGGCGCCCGGGAGAGCTTACCCATAGTCACTGTCTGAAACAGAACGGGACATTTTAGCGAACTGCGGCGGGGGGGGGGGGGGGGGGATGCAATATGGATGGGAGTGAATGACGGACGGAGGGGAGGGAGGGAGAGGAGGGAGAGGGAGGGACAGGGAGGGAGGGAGGGAGGGAGAGAGGGGGAGAGAGGGAGGGAGAGGAGAGAGGGAGAGAGAGAGAGAGAGAGAGAGAGAGAGAGAGAGAGAGAGAGAGAGAGAGGAGAGAGAGAGAGAGAGAGAGAGAGAGAGAGAGAGAGAGAGGAGAGAGAGAGAGAGAGAGAGAGAGAGAGAGAGAGAGAGGAGAGAGAGAGAGAGAGAGAGAGAGAGAGAGAGAGAGAGAGAGAGAGAGAGAGAGAGAGAGAGAGAGGAGAGAGAGAGAGGGAAGAGGGAGGGAGAACAAGAGAGAGAGAGCAAGAATAGAGCGGAAAGAAACCATAGGCGAAGAAAAAAAAGAGAAAGAGAAAAACACTAAACATCAATAACCATCTAACATTTGATTTCATCACTAATAACACCTACTCTACCTAACAAAGGAACATTAACAATCACATGGATTAGACACCTCTTCCACTTCCCTGTCGACCTACCCACAAACCTGCAACATGCAACGAAAAATGAAAAAATCCTCCCCCCCCCCCACCCCCCCTCCTTCCCTCCTCCCTTCCCCCCTTCCCCTCCTTTATTACCAAAGATATTCTACTCCGAAGACCCTCTCCCTCCCTCCCTCCCCTTCTTCCTCCTTCTCCTTCCTTCCTCCTTCCTTCCTTCCTTCCTTCCTTCCTTCTCCTTCCCCTTCCTTCCTTCCTTCCTTCCTTCCTCCCCTCTTCCTTCCTTCCCTCTCCTTCCTCCCCTCTCCCTCCCCTTCCTTCCTCCCCTTTCCCCCGCGAACAAAAAGGAACCGCGAACCCCCCACCACTTTCGGATCCGGAGAAGTCTGAGCAAGAACGGCCGGGCCCGAAACGGAGAGGTTTTCACAACACGTTCAAATCACGTTTTCTCCCCACTGCTCCCGGGGCGCGAAACGGTCGCCGGGAAGCCATCGCGTTCCGAGGGGAATCGAGGCCCAGCAAAACACTAAACACAAGGGCTTGTTAAAATGTGAAATGAAAAAAAAAATGGAAAATAGAAAAAGAATGAAAAAACGCTCGGAAGGGGGAACGTAAATTCTGCAACGTTCAGAATCAAATCACTTGTTTCACACGGAGTATCTGGAGGTAGAGAGAGGAGAGGGAGAGAGAGAGAGAGAGAGAGAGAGAGAGAGGGAGAGGGAGAGAGAGAGAGAGAGAGAGAGAGAGAGAGAGAGAGAGAGAGAGAGAGAGAGAGAGAGAGAGAGAGAAGAGAGAGGGAAGGGAGGGAGGGAGGAGAGAGAGGGAGAGGAGAGGAAGAGGGAGAGAGAGGAGAGTGAGAGGAGAGGAGAGAGAGAGAGAGAGAGAGAGAGAGAGAGAGAGAGAGAGAGAGAGAGAGAGAGAGAGAGAGAGAAAGAGAAAGAGAAAGAGAAAGAGAGAGAGAGAGAAGAGAGAGAGAGAAAAGAGAAAGAAGGAGAGAGAGAGAGAGAGAGCGAAAGAAAGAAAGAGAGAGAGCGAAAGACGAAAAGAGAGAAGAGGGCGAAAGAAAGAGAGAGCGAAAGAAAGAGAAAAGAAAGAAAGAGAAAGAAAAAGAAAGAAAGGAATGAGAGAGGGAGAGCGAGAGACCACTCAAAATCGCCGCAAGTTGACGCCATCGCGCATTTCGTCACGTTGATCCTGGTTGCGTAAGTGAGGGGGTGGGGCGGGGGGGGGGGGATTCCGTTCAATGCTTCCCTTGCTTCGTTCGTGGGTGACTTTGCGTCCGCCTTTGCTCACCTCCATTTCGGGCGCTCACGCTCTTAGAAACAAGCATGAACAGACAGCTATTTGTATGTAGGCATGTACGTATGTACGTATGTATGTATGTATGTAAGCATGTACCCATGTATGTATACATATGTGTATGTATGAATGTATATATGCATGTATGTTTGAATGTATGTATGAATGTATGTTGTGTATGTATGTATGTATGTAATGTTTGTATGTGTATGTAATGCATGTATGTTATGTATGTATGTATGTGTATGTACATATGATGTGGTATAAGTATATAAGTATGCATGTATGTATGTATGTATGTGCATGAATAAGTATATAATAATGTTTATGCACGAATATGCATGTAACATTGTATATGCCAATTCTTGGTCTTCCACTTCTAACAAGAAAACTGTCTTCACAACAAATCCGAAACACCACGTCTCCAAGTCGACATTTGCGGCCGGAATGACTTTCGTTTCCGATATTTTACTTCTCGCCAAAATGTGAGAGACGCGGCCCGGACTTGGCCTCCGAAATATCACATTTCTGGAGGCTCCCGAGACCCTTCTTGGTCCGCGGAAGATATTCCCCGTTTTACAGAATTTAACGGAAGGACACGCGCCGCACACACACACATATATATATTATTATCATCATTATTACTATTATTATCATTATTATTATTATGATCTTTATCATCATCCTCATTATCATCTTTATCATCAATATCATTATCATTATCATCATTACTATTACTACCTTTATCATCATCATCATTACATCATTATCATTACTATCATCGTTATCATCATTATCATCATCATCACTATTATCATCATCATTATCATCATCATCTATTATCATCATTATCATCCATTCATCACTATTATCATCATCATTATCATCCTTATTATCATCATCATTATCATTACTATCATCCTTATCACCAATCACTATCATCATCATTATCATCAGAGATCAAGCAAGAGGATTCTCAAATCCCTATCGAGATGTTCACGGCGCCGCCCTCGCTGATTGGACGAGATTCCTAATCAACTGCGGTCCAGAGAGGATTCGAATGATCGACCATAACCCTATAATATATTCATGTATGTGTGTGGGAGGGGGGCGGTGTGGTGGGGGGAAGGGGGGCGTGTGGGTGGGGCGTGTGTGTGTGTGTGTGTGTGTGTGTGTGTGTGTGTGTGTGTGTGTGTGTGTGTGTGTGTGTGTGTGTGTGTGTGTGTGTGTGTGTGTGTGTGTGTGTGTGTGTGTGTGTGTGTGTGTGTGTGTGTGTGTGTGTGAGTGAGTGAGTGAGTGAGTGAGTGAGTGAGTGAGTGAGTGAAGTGAGTGAGTGAGAGAGAGTGAGAGGAGAGTGTGAGTGTGCGTGAGTGAGTGAGAGTGAGAGTGAATGTGAGTGTGTGTACATGCGTCCGTGCGTGTGCATGCGCGTGCGTGCTGCGTGCGTGCGTGTGCCTGCATGCGTGCCCCAAACTTACATCCCCGTAAATGACACGCATCCCCAACCCGAACCGCGATCACACCCACAACACACACCCAGCAATTTGTTCAAAAGACGGGGAGTTTCAAGCGAACAACATGAACCCCGCGGACCTTTTAACATTCAACACGTTTCATACATGTCCTGTGCACGCGCGGAGGTTTTCATTCCCCGAAATTAATATTCGGACCACCGCTTATCCGACCTCAGCCCGCTAGGCTTATAATTCTATCTTCAAAACACATATTGGGCATTTTTTCCGACCTTTCAGAGGCAGGTTACATTCATTATCAAACGCCACGTATTTCAACCAACCATTAAAAAAAAAAAAAAAAAAAAATTGTGTAAAAGATCCGGTGATTGTGGCAACCGTCTTTGTCACATGCCACAAGTCTTTTTAATTACTATTATTATTACCATCAACGCCATTACTACGCTAAGCAAAGTATTCATCTTGCAAAATATTACTTTATTCAAACAACTTTGCTCACTCGTTTTTTTTTTTCCAAAATATTACTTTTTCAAACAACTTTGCTCATTTTTTTTTTTTTTTTTTGGCAAAATATTACTTTATTCAAACAACTTTGCTCACTCGTTTTTTTTTTTTTTTTTTTTTTTTTTGCAAAATATTACTTTATTCAAACAACTTAGCCCACTCGTTTTTTTTGTTTGTTTGTTTGTTTCTTCTGACCATCTCTAACGACCGGCGTAAAATCATAAAAAAGGGATTCCACGCAAACCGTTCTACGTTAAAAAAAAAAAAACTTTTCCACGAATGGCGAGGCGTGTGCGAGTATGCCAACACTGACAGTCTAACTTGCGAAGGAGGAAAGTTCTAGCGATAATTACATTAACAGTGCTTTCATGTCTTTTTTTATTGTTTTTATTTTATTTATTTTTTTTTTTTTTTATTTTTTGTTTTTTTTTATTCTTGTTTTTTTTTTTTTTTTTTTTTTGGGGGGGGGATTTTTTTTTTTTTTTTTTTTTTGGGGGGGGGTTATTCAACGCATCACTGATGGAACTATCGTGAGCTGGCTGTTAATAAGCTGACAATACGAAAATATAACAATCATCAGGAGCATACTCAAGATACATAAGCATATCTCTTTCCTTTCAGACATTTTCTATACGGATAAACATACTTCTACGATACGAGTTTAACCGCCGGTTTGTTAAAATTGTGCCAGGCCCGACCCAATGAATTTTCATAAATACAGATGCAGAAATAAAGGCATATCTGTCTATATATCTGATAGATATGCATTTAACCATCTATTTGCCCGGTTGATATGCATGTCTAGACTGATAAATATGCATTTATTTCTTTACTTATGCATGTTAAGCAGAAATAAAGGCCTATCTATCTATATATCTGATAGATATGCATTTAACCATCTATTTGCCGGGTTGATATGCATGTCTAGACTGATAAATATGCATTTATTTCTTTATTCATGCACGTCAAGTATACGAATATTCTTTGGGTCGGGCCAAAGTCTAACAAACCGGCCGTAAATCTCCACAAACATACAAAAAATAACATTGGATCAATAACAATACCAAGCGGTAATACTAAAAAAAATAAATAATAATAATAATGATAATAATAATGATGATAATAATAATAATGATAATAATAATACAAAAAAATAATGATGACAAAATGATA